ACAGAATTTAAAAGATAACAATTCTCTAGGGGAAAATATACCAACATTTTATTGAGTGTTGCTTCACACAAAATATTTCTGTTGCTGATATTGAGAATTAACAATAGATGCAGAATAAAACTCGCTGCTCAGTTCGCAACACATCTGGAAACTCTTAAACAGCTTTCGCTAAAAATGAAACATTTTCAATGAATTTTTCAACCACCAAAGCCGGTTTAGCGCAAAACTTCGTTATTGGAAAACGACAGACGAAAAATTTTTACGAGTATATTGAAATTTTTTTCTAGAAAATAACGGGACTTTCCATTGTTTGTCGGCCTTTTGTTTTTGTCAATTAAACAAATCTCTTCAGCAACCCTGGCAATTTCCGCAAAGGTATTGCCACATGAAATTATTACCAAAATAATAATTTTTATGCTTTGTGTCATAATATGTATTATTGTCTTCCCTAGTACCTATTCATATATTTCGCGCCAACACCGCAAGTATTTTATTACGCTCACATATTGGAGATATATACATACATATCGTCGTTTAAAGTTCAAAACCGCGTATCGTCCTTATCCATTCGTCCTGAAATATTCTAGCCAGAAATGCGATTAATAATAATAATAATATATTGGCGCTTACACATATATTATTAGTGGTTGGCCGAGCTTCTCCTCCGATTTGTGGCGTGCGCCTTGATGTTGTCATACAAAGCGGAGGGACCTACAGTTTTACGCCGACTCCGAACGGCGATTGTATTTTCATGAGAAGCTTTTTTTTATGGCAGAAATACACTCGGAGCAGCGTTGCCGAAAGCTTTCGCTGAAAAATCGTAATTTTACCCTGAAAAAATGGTCATTTCGGCCAAAAAATGTCAAATTCTTGTTCATTATATTTTTTTAACAAAATAAAAAATAGAAACAAAATTACATAAATTACAAACAATAAATATGACCACACATTTCAAAGCCAAAGGGAACCCACATTGCATATGGGTTAATAAAAGAGGATTTGTAATTGTTAACGATAATTTTAAACTACACTTTAAAACACAACTGCTTTTAAATTGTTCAACTGCATTATTTTTCTGTCTCTTTCAAATCAGTGTCAACAGTGCAAATTAGCGATTGGGTTACAATTATAGAACAAATTTAATAGAACTAAAAGAACGGTTGTATAACAAAACTAGATAAATGCATGGTTTTATTTTGGATTACGTTTTCCTTTAAAAAAAAATTTGACATACATATGTATGTAGGTAATTAGGTGGAAAAACTAAAATAAAAAATCGTCATTACGGGGGGAAAAATCGTCAAAACGTCATTGAAAACGTCAAAATTACGACGAAATCGTCAATTCGGCAACGCTGACTCGGAGGTTTGCCATTGCCTGCCGTGGGACGACCGCTGTTAAGAAAAACCCTTTTTTCTATATTTTTTGCGATGTTGCTTTGACCAGGGTTTGAACTCAGGTGACGCGGAGTGAAAGCGCGCATTGCTTACCACTACACCACTCCATTTCGAAATGTGAGTGCTTTTACTCTCAAGAAAATAATTTATGCAACCTCACATGCGCCATTTTGCATTTTGTTGATACACGGTTTTGTACTTTAAACGACGTATGTATGTACACATGTAACCATTTTTGCATATTGAACGCTAAAACCGAAACAGTTTCTTAGCCAGTGTTGCCACACATGGGCTCTTCCTACGAAAAGTGGTAGGTTTTTTTTTCCTTTTGGTAGGTTGGTAGGCTAGATTGGATTTTGGTAGGTTCCGCGAAAATAATAGCTATTCGCGAACAATAGAAAATATGTATCGCAAAACTAAGGATGTGCCGGATAGAGACTTTTCCGGATAACCGGATCCCGGATATCCTGTAAAAAATAACAGCCGGATTCGGATATCCGGCAGATTGCCGCACTTAATACATTTCACAATATTGTTATGTTAGGTTCTTTTTTTAGCTAGATTATCTGCCCTCTCGAGCTGAACTATCCAATACGTAATTAAGAATACACAATTTCTCCTCCGAAGTCCAAGTTGGGATATAATCCTGTATTAAAAAGATAACTTCTCTGTCTGCAACCCTTCGATCTTCGACTGTGGTCGAAAGCGCTGATCGAACGAATTTTCACTTGGTATAATAGGCCTTTCGCACGAGGCGATTTTTCAGGCAACAAAAGTTGAATGCGGAGTTGAATGAGAAGTTGAAAGTGAAAAAGTTGCCATCCCTATTCAGACGAGGCGATTTTCGATTCAACTCGAATTGTTGTTTA